ATACGTTGATAATAAGTATCTTACAAAGAACTTCCTACAATAATATATTATCTCAATCATAGTAATATGTAACAATTTCATTTAATGTTATGGCAGCACTATCTAAAACAAAATGACACTGTTGGAGTTTTGGCGGGAAATTGACCGGCGGCGGTTTGCTGCTCCTGTATTATTGTTTAAATAATGGTTTGAAGTGGACTTTGATATGTAAAAGTGTTGCGATTTTGTGTATTAAGTGTCTACGCATGTGGACTATTAGTGGAAACAGTGAAACAAGTGCTCTGATGGTGATGGATTCTCAAGATAAGCTGTATGTTTGCATAGGCACCTTTAGATACCATCGCCAACTATCAGCTGTCTGCTGGATCAAGTTGCCGCCAAAATCTCCCAAGAACTGCACAATGTGACGCATCAACATATTGTGAAGCAGTATACTATGAAGGAGTGGGGAAATTACAATAAACCGAATAAAAATACTTAAGACTTGGCCTAAAGGTCTAGATACCAGGCCATAAACTCCAAAAAAAAATGACACTGTTTTTTTTTTACTGGATTTACAACTCTGGGTTCTAGCCCTTCTGAGAGTGTCACTATATGACACAAAGGCCCTGGAGCCATGCCAGAAATATACATTTATATTATGCAAATATATAATAGAGTTACAATAATCTAAAAACTCTCAATTATGTAGGTAAGTTTAAAACATTATGTTTAGAATGTATTAAGCTAACATCAAACAACCACAGGACGCATGACTTTTTCCAAGTGATATAAGACATAACCTTAAAAGGTTCAAATCTAAATATCTTTTTTTTGACGCCTTCTCAGGACAAAATTCTTTGACAGTTATTAAGGGACTGACGCTTAACATTTTAAGATATTTTTGATATATAGACGCTACCATTCCTTCTCAACTAATTTTATGTATGAAAGTCTGTCATTGTTCTTTGGTCTTAAGATTAGAGATTATGTGCCTGCAAGCTAATTTTGAAGTTAAGCGTCGAAATGTAGAACCAACGGCAATAGGACGAATACCGTTATCCTTTTTTTAAAGGCACATAATCTTGCCCAATATAAGAATGGAATGAAATTTGGATTAACATTACCAGAAAGCATAAAGTTACATAATTTTGTAATGTCTTTAAGAAGTATTCCGCCGGCGTCACCGGCAGAAGCGCCTACAAAATCTTTAAGATGTTGAGGCGTAATTTCCTCAGTGCCGCCAGCAGAGCCATTCGAAAATGACATAATTGCTAAAGTGTCTTTTGCTGCTGTACCCCGCATCTTTCCCTGAAACAATCATTTACGGCCTAAATAAAAGCACTTTAATTAAAATTAAAATTGTTCGACCGTATCTAAGCAAATATACTTATATTAGCCTACGTTCAGTAATTTTTACATGGAAAAGTAACGCACATCCATCCATACAAACTTTCGCATTTATGACAGTTAGTAGTAGTAGTAGTAGGAAGTAAGATAGAATAGTAGGATTGTTTGCTGGTACTCTTCCATACAACCAGTAAAACTGTTATCAACTATTCCTCTACGATAATAACACTAATTATCCATTCTAGAAAATAATAAATATGACTTCACCTATCTATCTGTTTGTGTCTGTCTATATTTCACAGCTAAACCACTGAGCGGTTTATGATGAAATTTGGTATGGACATAGTTTGAAACCTGGAGATCATACGGGGAATTACCTGAAAAGATTTTTTATATACGGCCAGTGCTTGATTACATTGCTAAAGACGAAGCAAACCATTTGATTCGAGTGCGTGGAATATCGACAATAAAGGGGTGAAGGCGTTCTGCATACTCTCTGAAATGTATCCTGTAGAGTACCGAGAGGGTAGTTACTGTTTGCCTGTGCTTGAAGGTGACAAGATAGGTTTGTAGTAAAATAAGTCACCAGTAAGCTTCTTAGCACATCTCTCCACAGTTAATGCTGCTGGGTAGTATTTTGCAGCACCAACCCATACTCCATTACTACAGCATACTGCAACTTGGTTATATTTTTTTTAATGTATACCAGTGCATATTGTCATTATCGGATAAACTAAGACTCGTTACTCTACAGCTGGCTGTTGAGAAGTCTTAAAAAGTCTTGGTGTTTTTCTAAGATTTGTTAATAGGTTGCCTGTGGCTTTACAAGAGTAACATTGTTCACGCCCTGAGTTGCCCCGACAGAGGTTGACTGGACTAGGGCCCATGAGTAGTCCCATCGACGGGCAACAGAGGACGGGGCTCAAATGGCCAATGGATATGTAGTATCTAAGGCTAGGTAGATAAATAGGACGTGCCTGGTTCCGAAGCTAAGACTGACCACAAGGCTCAATCAAGTGGTAGATAGGTGCATGTAACTTTGTGTTAGAAGGTGAGTACATGTGTGACCTTTGTTTTTATTGTGGGGAAACCCTCATGGATACCTCCGGCTGCGGGGGCAACCGGATAGTTATGCCGGACTCCTACCGGCTAAAACCCCACGGTGTCTCCTCGCACGTGCGCGTGGGGCCGCGGGAATCCAAATTCTTCCGCAGCTCCACACTAGTGCTGGCCCGGTCTGTCCGGGCCTCGTCTCCTGCACGGGGTAGCGAGGTGTTCAGCTCAAGCCATAGCCTCAAACTCCACCTGCGTATCGGACGCCCCCGAGTCCGATACGCGGAGGCCATGGGGCCAGAAAAATCGAGCGCTTAGTAGTGCCCGCTTTCCCGACCCCAGCGGCGGATCTGGTCTCGGGTTCCGCCGCCTACCAAGTTTCGGCCGCGGAGGGTAGGAAGAGCGGCGCCTCGCAATACCGACACTCCTCTCCCCCCGCGGCCCCACCACCACCGCCTCAACGTTGCGGCCCCGTCTGAGTCGCGGAGGATAGGGCGAGTGGCGCATCGCCATACCAGCACTCCTCTTCCCCCGCGACTCCACCTCGGCTGCAGCGGAAGATGGAGCGGACACCCCTCTCACCGCAGTCCACCAACACACATCCGAAGTGGGCTCGTCAAGACCACTCGGAGTGGCCACCTCGGGCCGGCCCTACACCTCAGGCCAGCCAAGGGGTTCCTCTTTGTTCACCGCGGTTGACCAAGCCACGGCTACTAAGCCCCCCCGCCACGACAAGGCGGGAACCCGTTCGGGGGGGTACATGTGTGACCTGACTTAACCGAGGTGATCGGGCAGCGGCCTGGTCCGATGCTGCCCCACGACGTAGTATCACTCCAGCGGACGTCACCAATTGAAAACTGCTGACTTCATTTCACTATTTCAGTTTATCAACTTTATTGTACACTATTTCAATCTATCAACTTTATTGTACATTTAATTAACTTCAAACTCAACTAAATCCCCGTTAATCGTAATCAAACACTTGACACCCGGCACAACTAATGAACGGTTGAGCAAAGTTGAACTTCCGTTTTCACTTAGCAACAAATTATTTCTAGAAACCGAACGCGACCTTCTCTCGGGTCACAATGCTTCAAAATGCAATCACTATACAAATTGACGTAAATTACTTGCAAACAAAGGTAAGTTAATTTAATCACTCAACACTTAGACAGACCTCGTTATCGCGTAAACGCACTAAAATGATAACTCAAAATAGAAGCTATCTTAAAGCGACCTCACGAGTCTAGCGAAGAACCGGCGTCCGCGCAAACAATCTATTTTTCTAGGCTCAACAAAACTCATCGTTTTGCTAACAAAAACCGACACTATTTAGAGGTTATACGGTACGCGACCACGCCGTTCTAGTGACTGCGCTGCATTAATCAACTTCCAACACGCCACAATTACTCAAACTCTAATCCATCAAAACCAAAACTGGCCGCGCGCCACCGATCCAGCGGTCGCAAACAATTCAACTAGTCGACAGAGCCGCTGCGGTCAAGTTACTGTCGCTAGCCCACGAGGCCGAACGCCAGGAAGCGGCATACCGCCGCCCCCCCCCTCCCCCCGGCGGCGCTCATGTCACCTCACACCATAGGCGATGCGCTGAGTTAAACGCTATTGGATGCAGTTTCAAATGCCCATGTTTGGGCCTAAACAAACATAGTGCAATCAAAGTCAAAATATTTTTATTCATAATTGATTTTTACAGTGCACTTTTTGAAAGTTACGAAACATACACCATTATTAACAACAAATTCGAAAGTTCTTCACGATGGCCCAAGCTACAAGAAATTTTCGCGTAAGTCTCTTACTGGACAAGCGCAAAAAAGATAATAAATTCTTATATTTACACGAACACTACACATTGAATGAAACTACTTTTATGGATTTCTATCGCGTTTAATTTTACTTATTTTTAGGGTTCCATAGCTCAAAAGGAAAAAACGGAACCCTTATCACTTTGTTGTCCGTCTGTTTGTCTGTCTAGACCCTTTTTCTAAGGAACGCGTGGGGGTATCAAGCTGAAATTCATATCAAATACTCGTCTACTGTCCCTTGGAGCTGTGAAAAATCAAACTTCTAAGCCAACGCAATCAAAAGATACAGCCATTTATGCCGCAAATTTTCGATATTCGCAAGAGAATCAAAACCTACATGGTACTTCCCGTAAACACAGAATCTTAAAATTTGATATGATAAAGGAAAAATTGCGAAAAGCATAAATTTTTAGTTACATCATATGATGAAAATATTTTTAATAATTTTAAACCTTACCTACGGATTTGTTCAGAATCCTCGATGTGCGAGTCCGACTCGCACTTGGCCGTTTTTATTTATTTTTAGTTCCCGGTGTTTATGAAGAGTAACAGAAACCAACATTAGATGTAAATGATGACCTAATGAAACATGCAAAATGTTGGTGAATCAGGGTCGTTCTTTGTGTTTATATATATGGTTGTGATGAATAAGACAACATATCATAATTATAAATATATATATTATAGACTTTAGATATTTGCATTGTAATCTAAAACTTTTTTTAACATTGTACTAGATTAAAAGAAAATAAAGTAAAAGATCAAAAACCTTTTCACAATTTTGTTCAAATTTATCTAATCAAGAACATATTCATTGGTAGATTTAAGTAACTTAGTTAATCTTTTACCAATTAATTTAGGGTATGTTCTTGTTTTGATTAAGAACTCTTTAGATTGATGAGTTACAGCCCCATTTTCTAATTGATATTTACACAACATATGTAAAGGCTGTATTAATTGCTCATTATATATAGAATTATTTTCTAATTGGGAAAGAGCCTCTGCAGCTGTCTCTAGTGTACTTAAACAACCTTCAGTAGGTTGTGTTCTTATTATATAACTACTGGTATTGCTTGTTACAAGTTTAACTTGTTTTATTTTGTGTAACAGTGGACTGGAGGCATATATTGCTTTTGCTTGAGGCCATGTACTGTCAATTAAAATAAGATTATAAAATTTTGCATCATAATTTAAATCTCTAATGTCAATAGCATTTTTACTTGGATATAACAATATTGTGTTAGGTTGGTTCAATATATTTTCTAAGTTATCATGTTTAGGCAGTGGAAATTTTTTCCCCTTGTAAATAAGGCACTTGTTTTCTGCTAATCCTAATTGAAGCATAGGAGCAGTACGCAGACACCTCTTTTCTTCAGCTGGATGTTGCAAAAGAATAATATTACTTTCTGGGTTTAAGCGTTCAGGAGGTAGAGCTGAACACCAACAAACAACTTTTGGTCTTCTGAAATAGTGGAAAATCAATTTAGTACAATAATCTTTTTATTTATACATATTATAAGAATGTCAATGTATCATCATCATCACCATAATTACAGCCCTTCACTAGTCCATTGCTGAACATAGGCCTCCCTCAAGGAATGTCATAAAGCACGGTTCTGAGCCACCTGCGTCCATCGACTTCCTACACATCTTACCAGGTTGTCACTCCATCTAGTGGGGGGTCGCCCTATACTTCACCTACCGGTACCTGGCTGCAATTTGAGAACCTTTTTTCCCCATCGGTTGCCGGTTCTTCAAGCTATATTTCAATGTATAGGAGATAACATTTTCAAATCTTTTTCAATTTATTGCCTCTCTTGACAGAATTCTGTTGATATCAAGTAGAATTGAAACATAATGTAATAAAACTTGCATGTTCTACATTTTATTATTGTATGATCTGCCATACAGTGGTAGCATAAGAGAATCCACTATATCATCCACAGATATTGTAAGCGACAACAGGGAAATAAAACAAGAGATATGTAGTAGCACCTTCCTGATAACAACTCAAAATAATAAAAAACTGTGACCGCCAAATGTTCCCATATGAGGTAATATATGGGCAGGTCAATAATTAGCAGTGGACTTTTGGTACAACTGTAATGAATGAATTTAATAAAGATATGAAAAGAATATGACAAGAACATAAAAATAATGAAATATTTATCTACCATAAAAGATTAAGTTTAATTTAGGTTTAGGATATATATTTGAATATTCAATACATTAAACTTACTCGCAGTTTCTACATAAATCACGCATAATAGGTGGATCTGCTGGTATGTTTGATAAATCTTCCCAAGCTTGAATCTCTTCCATGTTTCTCGTACTTTAATCTATAATCTTATGTAATATTCCTTACATTTAAAAATGAGGTAATTTTTCTTGTATATTGTTTAACATTAGTTTTAAATATTCCATAGGCTATAATGTAGGAATGTAGTAAGTAGTATCTTTACGCATTATTCGAACATTCAACACATTAAAATTCTTCTGAGTTTTTCTGTTCAGATCCTATAATTAATTATTTGCAACATACATTGTGAAATAAATTATAAAATATATGTAAACTAATCACAAAAATAAACATAGCACTACAGATCACAGAATCACAGAACACTAATACCCTTAGGCGGGCACAGAATTCAGATTACAGATTTTTTTTTTGGAGTTTATTATGGCCTGGTATCCAGACCTTTAGGCCAAGTCTTAAGTATTTTTATTCGGTTTATTGTAATTTTCCCACTCCTTCATAGTATACTGCTTCACAATAAGTTGATGCGTCACATTGTGCAGTTCTTGGGAGATTTTGGCGGCAACTTGATCCAGCAGACAGCTGATAGTTGGCGATGGTATCTAAAGGTGCCTATGCAAACAAACAGCTTATCTTGAGAATCCATCACCATCAGAGCACTTGTTTCACAGTTTCCACTAATAGTTCACATGCGTAGACACTTAATACACAAAATCGCAACACTTTTACATATCAAAGTCCACTTCAAACCATTATTTAAACAATAATACAGGAGCAGCAAACCGCCGCCGGTCAATTTCCCAATTTAATTATGGCAATTGCAGTCAAGTGTCAACAGTAGTTAGTACTGTACGAACAATTAAAATGTCATTGTTTTAAAGTGCAAATGTATTTCGCAACTTAGTTTCAGATGTCAGCACACAGAACACTAATACCCTTAGGTGTCAACATCTGATTGCGGTTGCTACACAGTTTCTTTGAGTTGTAATTTCTAAGTAACTTTTAACTTAGCTGTGCTCTAAACAACTGACTGAAACTGAATAAAGCAAAATAAATGCGTTGCCAAAACCATGAACGAAAACTTTAATAAAGGGAATTTCCCCGCTTATAGTCGTCGGTAAAAAAAAAATCAAGTTGATCATCCTAAAGGGGGAGCCGGGAGATCCATAGCACAGGGTATCCTAGTTTGGACTCGTCTCCCATGCTCTTTGATTTGTGAAATAATATGTTTGAAAAAGATAAACTGCAATATACTATTTGTGGGGAAAAATAATAAAGGTCATTATTATTATTATTATCGGTAACGTGGACTAACAGTGCTGCTATAAAAGAGTTAGATAACCCGCTAGTCGCTATAATTTTGAAATGTGTGCTAAATACGTGCATTTCAACGTGGTAGAGCCATGATGCAGCTATATTAACAGTATAGTTGTAGCACGAATGGGTCGGCTCGACCGGGGAAGGATCACGCTCCCACATAATACCAGCGTAAAATAGCAGCTTAACACTGCTGTGTTTTGTATGGTGTGTGTAGAGAACCGGAGACCCTATTTACTGGAAAAGAGGCATCCCATCTTAGTCCTCCCGGGTGACAACGCATCTGCATTTTGATTCGCAAAGGAAGATAGATGTAGATGTCTATGGGCCACAGCAACCACTTACCATCAGGTGGACTATGTGCTCGTTTGTAACACTATCCTATAAAATAAAAATACACCAAAAAGCTGGATTAAGCACTAGGTGCTATGCTTTAGTAAAGGTGGTGAAGGGCAAGTTTTTTTACATTAGTTTTTGTTATCAACATTGCCTTTAGAACTGGAACCTGTACGTGATTTTTTTTAGACGTCAACAATTTATTCATAATAGAAAAATACTTTTTCTACTGGAGCATTTGTACCAGGTATACATAAAATATATTCGATTAAAATGCAAGAGAATTTATGTTGAGAATGTTGGTGAGAAATGTTTGAATCACCCAACGAATTTCTGCGAAAACTGAAATTATCCCATTCGGTTATTTTTTGGTCGGTCCCGCTCTCGCACCGTTCGTGTCTGACGAATTTCATAGTTTTAAATTTTCTCGCGGTTTAGGACAACGGGACTATTTTGCGTCGCGGAGCTTTGTTTGGGGACAACGGGACAGGTGACCGAGAAAAGGTACAGTCCCGTTCAAAACTGGACGTATGGTCACTTTACGTTAATATTCCTTAAATTTCAAGCAAGATGAACGTTGACGCTGCTACACTATGTTTGATGAGTGTAAATTTTTATTATATGAATATATTTTATCATTGCCTAAACATGGCTCTCTTTGCAGAATCTCAAGAAAAGAACTTTTTCATTATTCCACTCTATCGTAGCCATACATGCGACTCCGTTGCGCTCACCGTGCACAATGAGACAAACGTAGTGGGGCCGCTTCAACGCGTTAATTCGTGCGTTAATCTCTTTGATGTACCGACACTCGAGTTATCGTTCAACGGGAAACGGCATTGTTCTTGCCGTTGTAGAATTATCGCGATAAGTGGTGGCCACACCTACATTCAACGCCCATCAACGCGATAATTATCGGCATTTTTCGTTATTGTAGTCCGGGCATGAGTGTTGTGTAACACTCGGTTGGAATGAAGTTCCTTTCGTAGTATATTATTATTAATAAACGTACTATATTATTGATTAACAAATACAAATAAATGAAATACTAGCGTATATTAAAATAAAGCTTAATTTAAAATAACATAATATTTCTTTCATGGCAAAATAAGAAAAAGTGCGAGGAAGATGGATATTATTCCATCTCGCTTCCTTATAGCCACCAAGGCCGTCTACACTACGTCAGAAGGGGCCGTGTCGAAAAAATCTTACACTTTTTGTCAGCTAGCCCCCATCCGCCGAATCCTTACTGTCCGATAAAGAACTTCGTTCCAATAAATCAGTCCGGTTTTGCTAGTTTGTGAAATACGACGCGTTTTGAGCGTTTTCTTTATAATAATTGTTTATTTTGTTTGTTAAGGCTTTAAGAAGCCTGAATGATCTTGACGAAACGGCAACCGCAGAGATTTTAGCCGACGTCAACACCGTCTAGCGACTACGTTCTGTATTACTTAGAAAACTGCAAAGATTAATAGACTGCAGAGGTGACAAGTAAAGTGATATACTACCTATTATGCTTGCGCATCACTGAGAGTTATATCGCGTAGCTTCGTCCAGTGGGCATCACGAGCTATAAAGTGTTTAAATTTTAAGTACGTAAGTGTTTTATTATATTCTTTCAATCGTATTTATTTGTGTCGCATTAGCTCTGGGTCTTAGCGCTCACTGTAAATTTCACCCGGGTTTAATCCCAGGCAATGCAGAGATAGCACCAATGAAATTTTTAACTGCAATTTTAAGTGCTGATTTAACACGTGCTCGGCGGTGAAGAAAAACATCGTGAAGAAACCTGCATATGTCTGAGGAATAAGATAAAAAAATTCGAAGACGTGAAGTTTCCCAACACGCATTGGGGTAGCGCGGCAGACATTTCCTTACCATAAACCCCTCTCAGAAGTAAGAGGAGGCCTGTGCCCAGTAGAGGGAGTTACATAGCCTGTTATTTTACTTTTGTATCGTATACATATGCAATATTCATATTCATATCAGATACAGCAGAGTACCTATGGCTGACAAAAATATCCTGTAGAGGCCACGAAAACGTAAAACATCTTTGTACCTAGATAAAATGTTCTAGTGATTGTCAGTTATTTCATACGCCACATTGTCTATAGAGTTTAGAACGTTTCAGATAGGGCAATATAAAAAATAACACAAAATATTATAGGAATGATTTATTAATAATATATACATTTATAGGTATTTATATGATATATACATACATAAACACTCACGCCTGTCACCCAGAGGGGTAAGCAGAGACTATGGACTTCCATTTGGCATGATTCTGACACACCTCTCTCGCTTCCTCCACATCCATATACCTACGCATACACGCTCGTCGGTTAAAGGTACTCTTGATTTGGCCCATTTTTAATATATCGCCAATTTGGTCGGTAAACTTTCGCCTAGGGCGACCCTTCCCGACTTTGCCATTCACCTCTGTAAGATTTTGCATTGTCACTCTTTCCTCATTCATTCTTTCTACATGACCAAACCACCGAAGCATTCCTTTCTTAATCCTAGTCACAACATCATCTTGCAAACCACACTCTTCTCTTATTAAACAATTTCTCACTCTGTCATTCAGATTCATCCCTAATATACTCCTTAATGACCACATTTCAACAGCATTTATTCTACTCTCGTGCTTCTTCTGCCACACCCAACTTTCACTACCATACATTAAAGTGGGTACTAACACAGCATTGTGAATTGCCATACGTGCCTTTTTGGACACATTCTGACTTTTCACAATGGGATGTAGAGCCCCATTCTATTTCTTGCATTCACTCGTCGTTCTATATCTTTATCATATCTACCATCCCTGCTAAACACACATCCCAAATACACAAACTCATCTACTTGCTCTGCCAACTCCCCTTCTATGCTTATTTCACATATCGTTTTACTTTCTTCTCTTTCATAAACCATAACTTTCGTCTTACTTGCGTTCACTTTCATTCCCTTTTCCTTTAATGTCCTGTTCATTGATGTAACCATCATTTGCAACTCGACTGCCGACGACGCAAGTATGACTTGATCATCGGCGTACAAAAGGCATTTGACGGTTAACTCACCCATTCTTAACCTGCTTTCTTCTACTTTCAAATTTTCCAAACAACTGTCCATAAATAGGTTGAACAGCCACCGGGAAGCCACACAGCCATGTCTGACACCTTTATGGATGCCAAACCAGTCCGAGTAGGCCCCGTTGATCCTGACACAAGCACTAGAGTCCCTATACAGAGACTTCAATGCCTGTATCAACCCAGCGCTCAACCCAAATGAGTTCAGTGCTTTTCACAGAATTTTTCAAAATTTTTCACAGAATTTTTCACAGAAGTATTGTTTACAACTGGCGTGGTTTACAAAAGCATGATTAAGTGTCAGCTGTATATCGTTAATCAGATCCTGAACTTTTTTGACTTTTATTTTTACTTCTTTTTGTTAAATTTTGTAACTTTTTTAAAAAACTGACACAAACTCGTCTTGAATAAGTTTGTAATTTTTATTTTTATTTTATCACAAAATTTTTGCAATAAATTATTACGTTTTATAAAGTAATCCTCACCTCTTAGGTTTGGCGAGACTGCAGGATGTTATATAGGTACTGAGTTACCGTCAGTTACTAAGCGGTTATAAATCAATATATGGATGTATAGACATACAAATCTATATTTTTTGATTTTATTATTTTGATTTTTTGATTTTATATTAATTTTTTGGAACCTGGTAAAATTATTTGTTTTTCTATACCATTTGATGGGCCTGTGTATAATGCCAGTTGTGCTCTTTGGCTGAAGTTATTTCTTATTTTACGCACAATTGCAGACAAAACAATCTCTAAAACAAAATTTTATCTCTTCTCCTTATAATAATAGCTCCGTCACCTGACACGCGGAATAGTTTTTTCTACCATTGGCAACAACAGTTGACCACCGAGACCATTGGTAACAGTTATGAGTGGTATAATTACCGTTTCGTGTAGCCGATCACCATGCACATGTAACACAACATTTCCACATTAAATATTACATAACACTACTCATTCATACTACATGACTACAAAACTTTTAGAGTTTATATCGTATTACATGCAAGCCCACTCTTTAAATTTAAAATTTAATAATCAAAATAATTGTATTGTTCAAAATGAATTAAATGTCGTGTGTACTACTTGTACTCAGGTGACGGACCCTGCATTATGCAGGCGATTTGTCCATGTAACTCCAAACTCACTGACTATTCTGTCAGTTAATATAAGGAGTATCCACTGTAATTTGGATAATTTTCTAGTGTTTGTAGAGTCGCTTAATATATCCGTAGACATTCTTGTACTAACCGAATGTTGGACAAAAGAGATCAATCCACCGCCGCTTTTAGATAACTATCTTATGTTATATACCTACAAAAAATAAACTGAACCAAAATGATGGTGTAATAGCGTATGTGCGCAGTGGTATTGTGGCCTCTGCTAAAGAACCGGATTGTTCAGAAGGCAACTGTTTGGTTCTGAATATTGAAGAAAGCTGTGTTGTTATTTGTTCTTATAGACCAACAGGTTTTCCGAATCCTGCGAATTATCTTAATTCTCTAGCGCGTATTTTGAAAAACACACCTCAAAATACTATAATACTTACTGGTGATATAAATATAAATATATTGCCGGGAAACGTATCTGTGAGTGGTGCAAGTTACATAAGTCTCATGGTCTACTATGGCTTAGTTCAGGGTATTGATAAACCCACACGCTTGGAATCATGTATTGACCACTTTATGGTTAAAACGAAAAGTAATTGGCAAACCTTTGTATTCGATCCATTAACTGACCACAGTGGCGTAGCTATGTAACCAAGGGCTCTGGGGCAAAAATGAAATTGGGGCCCCATTTAAACTAAACTTTAAAGGTGCAAAACTACTTCATCATCAGCTTCTTGTGGCCTACTGCAGGGCATAATAATAAAGCAAAGCCACTTACTACTAAGTATTAAGTGTAACGCATAAACAATGACGAAGTAGATTACAGTTAATAATAAAGGCAGAGACAACATAATAGTGGAAGAGCCACACGGTAGCTTTTGCTATCGTACGGGTGAGCCAGACTAGATGGAGTGACGACCTGGTAATACATGAAATGAAAAGCTGTAATAAATGAATGTAATGAATGGATGGACCGGCTCGAACCAAGGAGACCCACGACTTTACAAATAACAGCAAAGAAGTAGAAGTTTACTTCGCCTGTTAAGTGCAGGTTGTCGAATGCCTAATCCCTCTTCCCGTTAATATGGTAGTGTAATTAAATAAGAAACCAGGAGAGTACCAGCACCCTTGGTATTGGAGAATTCCTGGCTAAGCGTCCACGCCCAAGCTACCCTACTCTTCTTTAGCGCGGGTGCTCAGACTACCTCGCGTATCCCTAGGAGGGAAGGGGGGGGGGGGTGAAATTCCGCTCAAGACTAATACTGCTCGTAGCAAGTAGAGCAATAAAACAAAGGTGACACCCGCCACGCTATCCGTGAATTTCTGCAACATCAGGGGATTGCATTCGACCGTTAACGAAGTCCACTAGGTACCATCTGAAGACGGCGAAGCCGACCTTGCTCTTTCTAACCGAAACGCAGGTGTCCTCTCCGGTCGATACTTCTCTCCTATTCGGGGTACAAATTATAACACCTTTGTACCTCGGGCTGGGCATTCGTCAGAGAGGACATCTGTTCTCGAGGCCTTGGCAGTCTTGTCGGTCAGCGACGAACATCGCGTCTACGGGTGCCTCTATTGGTAATGATGACACAGATCAACGCATTGAACACGTCCAAATCGTTGCAAACTCCGTGCTACAACAGGTCCCATCTGCAGAGATCGCTATCCTTGGTGATTAACGGCCACCACGCTGAATGGATTGGTTCTCGTTTAACATGCGGGAAGATCTCTTTATGACTTTGTCTTGGCATATGGTCCGACACAAATGGTTACTTCATCTACGTGGATTCTAGATGTGGAGGATAGTGCACCTTCACTGTAGGACCTTCTGCTGACCTCTCATCCGGACGGATATCAGGTCTCCGACAGCACCCCTCTTGGCTCATTGGACCATTGTCTGATCCGGTCTATGTTGCCACTCACACTCCCATTGCGATTGTGTTCTGCAGATCACCGCCGTGTTTGGCAATATAGGTCAGCCGATTGGAACAGGATACGGTCTTTTTTTGCATCCTTGCCTTGAGGACAGCGGCGGGTATGCTTCTCGTCGGATGATCCCAACGTGATTCTGTCGCTGATGTAGTACTTAGGGAAAGGAACTCTTTATTCTATCATCTGTGATACCTGGTTTGGTCGCTCCTGTAAAATTGCATCGCGCTTTAATAGGAATGCTTCACCAGTGCTGTTAAAAAGAAGTATAAGTTAACCTTCAGGTCGGTACGATACGGTGTACACAGCGCTCGGTGCGCACAGCACTACTCTTCCTAGACGTCAAGTCGAGTGGGCCTGATTGAGTTCCTCCCATTGCGCTGAAGACGTGTGCTCCCTAGTTGGCACCGGTCGTAACATGTCTTTTCTAAAACTCTTTCTCCCTAGGCGTAGTCCCGAACTCAAAGAAGATAGCTTTAGTTCACTAGATCGCAAAAAAGTAACCGAAAATCGACCGCTCAGACCTATCTAACTTCTTCTCCAAAATAATGAAAACCATTTCGAACTGCCGGCTCATGAGGACAACTGAAAAGTGACTGCCAGTACGATTTCCGTTGGGGTTGCTCAGCCGGTGATGTTCTGACATACCTGACTCATAAATTGGCGGATGCAGCGAGGGAGACCCTGGCCGTTAGCTTTAACATAGCAAAAGCCTTCGATCGGGTTTGCTACAAAACACTATTTTCGAAGCTCCCTTCCTATGGGCTTGCCGAGAATTTGTGCAGCTAGATCAGCAGTTTTCTTGCAGATTGGAACAACAAAGTCGTATTAGAAAGTGCGTGCTCCATTTACAAGCCTATTTATGCTGGTGTTCAACAAAGCTACGTGCTATCACCTACATTGTTTCTTCTGCTTATCAATAATATGTTGTAAATCAGTAACGTGCACTGGTGATGTATAAAAAACACAGGCTGTGCCTATATTTCTCAGGAAAACATCACCGAGTACCGGAACAAACTTGTGTGTGAAGTCGAGGTTTTGCCGGATAAGGTCTCGGATTGGGGCGACTAAATGTAATTAAGTTCAATGCCCAGAAGACACAAGTTTGCGAGTTTACCACTAAAAAGAACCCCTTTGCCGTAACTCCTCAATTTCAGGGCACTCCTCGTGTTACCTCAGCCAGCATCGGAATCTTCGGCGTTGACATATCGAATAACGTGCAGTGCACTTGAAAGGGAAGGCTGAATTGGCCTCTAAAAATTTTGGCGTGCTCAGCAGAGCGGGTCAGTATTTTATGCCGGCACACTGCTTGAAACTTTACAAGGGGCAGGTTCGGCCTAACATGGAATACTGTTCTCATCCCTGGGCCAGGGTTGCCTAGTACCAGCTTCTTCCACTTAACCGCAACCAGCACAAAACGACTTGAATCGTCAACGACCGACGAAGATGAAAGACGAGACGAAGAGACGTTGCATGCATTTTCTATCGCATTTACCACGGGGAGTGTTCAGAATTTCTCGGATTAATTCCAGCCAGAAAATTTTATTAACGCATTTTACAAATCCACATCATCGAGATGTTTGGCGGTTCACTACCATCGATGCAACAACTTTTGCTGAAGATTTGTTCACGAAGATCACTTAGTTTCTTCTTGCAAACACGGTGCTGACCCTAGGACTGATAACATACCGCACCGCTTGTACAGGTCATATGTGGGGTATTTAAAAGGCAACCGCATCATAACTTTTAGAACGGTGCGTTGCGCACGCTCTAGTAGTCTTCAAGCCAAGACGCTACGGTTTTTTATCCCTTTTTCAACGACACTCCTAACATTACCTTACAATGTGCCTTGAAACAAAAGTACTGTGTCATCTGCAAACATCACGATGTCGACACCCTTTAACTGCAACTTACAAAGGTCATTTATATAGGCGAGAAAGAGAGTCGGGCCTAGCGTACTGCCTTGAGGTACACCGAAATAACAAACAACGCTGTTGCTTACATGTTCCTTGATCCTGATTACTTTTGGCCTGTTACTTAAGCAGGATCTGAATCATTGCAGTGGCACAGCTCTAATACCCAGGTTTTCTAGCCTTGTCAATATTATAGGGATCGAAACCGTATAAAATGCCTCATGAATATATAGAAAGACATCGCTACACCTTTCATTTTTGTCTAAGTAAGAGCTCACTGAGTACGTGAAATGGAGGATGCATCCTCAATGAATTTGTTCTTCCTGAATCCGTATTGGTTAGGGCTTAAAAGGTCAAATTTCTATAGGTCGCTAACCAGTCTACAATTTTTTCTAGGACTTGCTCGAGTTCGCACTGTCATTCGACGGTAGAATTTTTTGACCATCTGTATAGATAGGTGTAACTAAAGTCTTTTTGAAGATGTCTTGGAAGAGACTAGTTTTTAAGCTAAGGTTTATTAGATGAGTTACAGGTTCAACAAGGTTCCTCTTCAATCAAGAAATCAAATGTGCTTGTTCTCTCTGAGCTAATGCCTTTAGGCGATTTGCACTAAATAATTTAAAAATGGCATCAAAGGCTGAATTAGCTTGTGTTTACTCCACTCTCATATTGGTTGATGATGATGTCGCTGTTACTGGTAAAAAATCTCCACCATTCTTAAAGCCGCTGCCGTTGATGTAGAGCCATATTGGCCAGATTTATGCGCAAAGGCTTTGGAAGGTGTGAACGTGCGTGACCTCATCACGAACATCGGATCTGGAGTTGGAGCTGTGCCTGCGGTTGGTGGTGCACCTACTGCTGCTTCAGCTGTAGCCCCGGCAGCAGAACTCGCCAAGGAAGAAAAAAAGGAGGAAGAACCTGAGGAGTCCGATGATGATATGGGCTTCGGTCTCTTTGACTAAAGAGATTTATCTTAAAGCTGTGGTATTCCATTGTAAGCTTTATGAAGCTTGTGTAATTATAAGAAAATTTACTTTATAAAAGTGAAACAATATAAGGACATGCATATTTTATGATGTATGATGTTATACTGTCCCAACCAGAGGCACTACTTGTTTTCAAGTTGGAAATAAATTTATGACAAAAACGAGGAAAAAGAATTTGGCAACGAGTTCGACCTGGCTGCATTGATAGACAATTGTTCTTGTGTAAGTCCTAATTTGTTAATAGTTCCATTTGCCAACTCGAGACCAATTGCACCCGTAGTAAAGTACCCGTTTACCTCAACCAAAGACTCTGTCGTTGATGTTTTAGTATTGAGAAGCTCATCAGATGTATTTTCTGTTTTTTTCTACTCAAGTTGCAAACATGTTTTATTAAATCCCATGTACTTTTAATGCATCCCGCATTTTGATTGAATTTGGAGAGGTAGTAATTTGTGTTACTTTATTTAACAAGCTAGTTATGGTTACACCAGCACCACCAATAATACAGATAAAGCGTCCATCAGCATAAATGCATGAACGCTGAGTATGTAGTAATTTAAGTAGACTGTAAGCATAGGATTAAGAATTGTAAAAGACAATGGAGAGAATAAATTCACATCTCTCTGTGAACACGTAGTTTGTATTTAGGTTCAAGTCGTAGTTTGTATTTAGTTTTAAAAAAGCTCTCGGCAGCTCCCGCAACTTGACTGGCGAAGCCGGTAGGATCACCGGAAAAGTTGTGCCCCCGTGCGTGAATATCGCGTATGCAATTTTACCCATTTTCACGCATCGGCGGACGATCCATACAGCGTGGTGATCCAGCGAACCAAAACAAATCCGTCGAGAATAAGGAGCCGTGAAACTGATGATGGGCACTGCGGGCTGGTGAGTACGACTCTTCACCTCCTTCGTATCCCTTAGTAAACTTGGAATTAGACATTTTCCATTTTGACTGTTATTTGGGTTTCAAATACTAATCCTACGTAAATTTTATAAAGTATTAATTGCATGCATGAAGAAGATAATGAATCTGAAAGAAGCGAAAGAGGTTTGTAAGGATCGTGACACTTGGCGATCTGTTCTCTCTGGCTACCCCGTCAGGGATTGTGCGTGAAGATAAGTTAAGTTAATTAAGTGCAACAAATAACTACTACTTAAATAAAATTAAAATAATATTAATTTAATTGTAAGACGTACATAATATTAAGTCCCATATTACTCAATAAAGTTATAGAGTATATTATATTAAGTATTATACATTATATTAAGTTCTTATTGTGTCTACATGTGTTTGTTAATTTAAAGATTACTCGACACGTTAATACATAATAGATTAGTACTTATACTCGAATTTTCCTTACAACATTTGTGGTTTTGGTAGAGTTATAATAAATATTTTTTTTTTTTTTTATTATTATTTTTTATTTTGGCCATGTAGAAAGAATGAATGAGGAAAGAGTGACAAAGCAAATTTATGTTGCAGAAGTGAACGGTATAGTCGGGATTCGGGAAGGGTCGCCCTAGGCGAAAGTTTATCGACCACATTGGCAATATATTAAAAATGGGCCAAATCAAGAGTACCTTTAACCAACGAGCGTGTATGCGGAGGTATATGGATGTGGAGGAAGCGAGAAAGGTGTGTCAGGATCGTGCCAAATGGAAGTCCATAATCTCTGCCTACCCCTCTGGGTGACAGGCGTGAGTGTTTTGTGTAGAACCAGTGAATAAATTATTAATAAATGTGGGAAATTAAACTTATCCCTAATGAATTAACTAAAATAATACCAACATTTAGCGGCGATATACGCCATTTAAATTTATTTTTGCGTAAATGTGAATATATAATAAGTAACTTTAAATCATCTGATGTGCAAAATGAATATATAATGCAAATCATTACTAGTCGTCTTACGGGCGAGGCTACGTCGGTTATCAGTGAACGGGAAGATATAGAGACGTGGGCCGAATTCAAGGAATTGTTTTTAACTCACTTCGGCGACCCACGTAGCGAGGAATGTTTAGCCATAGAATTAGAAACCTTAAAGAAACACCAAAATGATAATTATACAGATTTTTGTAGTCGTATAAAATCCGTTAAATCAGTGATATTATAGAAGGTTAATCAAATTGGTGATAAAAACTTAAAAATAAGTAAAACTATTATTTATAATAACACCGCTCTGCAGGTTTTCTTACATAATTTATCCAAAAATATGGTGCGCATTGTTAGGTTGAAAACACCCAGTACACTAGAAGAAGCACTAAGTATAGTTCTAGAAGAAGTAAACTTCTATGACCAATATCAGATGCGTAGTAAAATGTTACAGTCTAGCCATACGTCTAAGCCACAGTCTAGTAGTACACTAGTGCAACAACCATCGTTTAAGTTCGCAATGCCAACACAGCCTACAGGTTTTAGACCAATGTTAGCACAAAACCAACCCCGTAGGCAGAATTCCGGAACACCACTTCAATTCAAATTTGGCATTCCCAATAGTAGACAAATGAGGATTCCGTTACCACAAAATAAGCCTCAACAGCAAATGAGTTTCACTAAGTAATATCACCCACCTAATTTTGGATACCGACCAAACTTTTTATTTAGACCCCCGGACTATAGCCCCATGCAACCAATGTTACCACAACAGTTTGGTAATTCTCAGCGTTTTAATTATAATAATGTGTATAATAAACCGGTTTCTAATGATACGGATGTTTCTATGAGAACTGCCCCTCCAAAGCCTTTTCAACCAGGTTTCCGCCTAAACGAATTAAAAATTTGTCGATCATACTATACCTAGGAATTTCCTCAAAATTACATGTATGAGGAAACATACGACAATTATTATGAAGATGAATCCATACAAGAAAATTCTATAATAGAAGCCGACGAAAACAATGACTCAGAGAATAATGACATGTCTGCACAGACTGAAAATTTTCAAGTAAAGGCCTCCGAAAACCACCTGAAATAATAGAATTGAATTGCGACATAAATCAAAAACTGCCATACATATATATACCGGAAATAGATGCTAATTTTATGATAGACACAGGAAGCACCCGTTCTTTTATAAGCCCCGATAAAGCACATCAATACTACCGTAATTATATAAACATACCGGTCATGGGGGCAACTCTTGCACGAACTTGTTGCAATGGAACAATCAACTTGTTTTCAGCCTTTTCTTTTTCACAAAATACGTAAACTTGAAGAATAGTTTACCTTGTAGCACTTTTTACCAGTTTCGGCATTTTTAAAACTAAGATTAAATTATTAAGAAGCAAAAGAGCATATAGATGGCAACCGGTCAAACTAAAAGAAAGATACGAAGACTGAGTAAACAGTGCCACCGGATGAACGGACAATACAAAATTCATGCAAATTATCAACGTGACTTTTTTCTTTGCAAAATATAAAATTAATTAAATAATTGAATATATTCTATATTTTAAACAGTATATAATATAAATTTTAACCAAAAATAGAAGTGTCATAACAGCACAGAACACATGTACCCTGACGGGAAGAACGAAAACTTCATACAATAAAAATGCCAACAGCTTGCGACACTAGCGCGCCAGTTTTTGATCCATGAACTAACAGATGTGAATGTGTGCGTGTGTATATGTATATTCCTCATTGCCCACCCCCACATTCAATATTCTATTTTAATCATAATATATTACTATTTCCATTCCAATTTTCTACGAATGTAGAAATTACATTCTACATTAGTAAAAAATTGAAATGGAAATAGTAATAAATGAATAACAAATTGGAAATTTTAAATATTTAATAACACAAACCTTGAGAGGAAGATTAGAGTTAATAATTAGCTATGCATTGATACATAAGTAGAAAATTGGAATGGAACACGGTTAATAGTTTTTCAGAAATAAAACAATTATTTTCATAGAGATTTAAATATATTATTGACTAGTAATATAGACACAGAAATAAACTTGGGCACTCAATTTAAGATGATTATAGACGCATCTTAGAACACACCGTTTTCAGTAATCCATTATTATTCGTTAAACATCTTCATTAAGTAATACAACTCTGATAAATCACCATAAATTAAATATTCACTGGCTAGTAACACCACACTTAAGTTATTTTTCTACGAAATATACTAAATCGACATCAGTTTTGAATTTGGCTTAGAAAAGTTAAACAAAACTAACTCCATTTAATTTGAAAATGATTTGAAACATTCTCGTTTAAAATAATATCTAATTGATGTAAAATGTACTTTGAAAGTTGTTATTTTCTTAATTTTATGAATATGTAAAATATATTAACCTAGTTTACGTTTTTATTTCACAACAATCATAGATACATTTATATTTTCGGCTACAGAGCTTGTTGCACAGAGTAATCATTTCAATCGGACATAAAAATAATCGGAACGTATAATTTAATTTATACTTTCATGGATTAAACAACTTTTATTTGTTATGTATATTATAAAATATATAGTTTATAATTTATAAGATAAGTAAAGATAATTTTTAATGGGCAGGCGACAAAGATATTAAAAAGCAAAAATAAAAGTTCCTAAACTGTAATTGAAATACAATGCGTAACATGGTTCAATAGTGATTTCTCTGTCTTGCGTATAGCGCTGTCTCTGTTTCGCTTATTTTGCCCAAAGTTTGCATCGGCTCCATAGTGAGTTGACCCCCCATGCATAACAGTAACGACGTCTTGCGAATTTACCTGTGAAATGTACAATTACAATTATCAGGATTATTTTTATTATTGACACCACAGTCACTCACAAAACATGCATAACCATTGTGGAAAACAATTATTAGAAATATTAACGACGGTTATGGATACGCGAGTGTTCAGGGGTGCTGACCTGGGAACGGATCACTATCTAGTGATTACTAGATTTAGGGGTCTGTTCGCGGGTTGGCGCTACCGGACGACAGTGACAGAACCACAGTCGGTCTGTCGCATCCGA